CTGAAATTCTTTTAGCTAGAAGCATCTGCTGGAAAAAACAGTGTCGTCTGCGACAAAAATGTACGGGGAGCTATGCAAAGAGCGCATCTTCGCACGGGCAGCCCGTGCGTTAGCCAGTTATTTGCTTTTAGAAGATAAAATTGCCCATTTATTATTATTGGCATTATTATTGTTACCATTATTATCAATATTATTATTATTATTTTATTATTATTACTGCTGCTACTACTACTTCTACTACTATCATTGTTATTATAAATACTATTGTTATGATTGGCGATTGGGACCACAAATTATCGATGATTATGAGGGATACGTGAGCTAAAGTAAATTTCCATTGTGGGTCTTAATGAGAAAAATCAATTTTCTGCGCAATTTAGCGATGCTTGCCGACAGCAGTAAGCTGAAGAGAGAACAATGCTTTTGTTTAGTTTCTTTCTCTTCTTCGCTATGCTAAGTCGTTCTGATGATGACTCTAACGAGAAACTCTTTAGGGTTGCGTCCCCCTCCCAGGAAGGTTTCGCGCCCTAATCTGTCTTGGGATTCTGTGAATGCATACGTAAGCGTATAATAACAGCAAGCGCATACATGAGCTATATTGTCGTGTTGTGTTACACTGGCGAGTGCCAGTGACTCTTCGAGGAATTTCCTGAGATTTCGTCGATCAGCAGTATTTTTCAGAGTTTTCGTGAGGACCTGCTCCTCGAAGCAAGCATTATCTTCCTCATCGTCCACGTCGCCCGCGACACCCTCAAGATTTTGTCTCCAAATTGCCCATTTCATCTCACCAAATTTACCCTCAAGCTCGTCCACCGGCAAAATCTTCAACATTAGAAGTATTGTTGTTAGATACAATTATGTATATGTAACTGAAAAACAATGCCTGAACAAATACTCTGATACTTTGCATGACTGAATTTCATGATATGTTCACCGGCTGATAGCATTTTCATACTTTTGGTGCACATACAACTGTGTTATAATTTAGTTGCTTGTTTAAGGAAATTATTAAATAATCCTTTTAAATCGGTCATCTGTCTCGAAAATCCCGGCGTTTTTTGTGTGACCTTGTAAAAAGTCTTCTCGCTTATAAAACTTTGTAAGATTCAGCGATCTCTACCGTTTCATGTATGAGGACAAATTCTGGAACCATGTGCTCTCCAGAAGATAAAATACTTGATGAAGTGAAACTCTTCCGCTTAAATAAAGTTACCAGAGCGCAGAACAGGGAAATATGCGACAGCGCAATTCCTTTTATTTCATTAAAAAATTTTTTTGAAAAATTATCAGCTAATTTCAGCTAATCTTTTAATAATAAAAGTCTGACTGAAATGCCCAAGGCATTTTTAATATGTGCAAAACTGAAGCAAAGAGCCCGCCAAACTCGAATAGGACAACACTCATTTCCCTTATTTCGCCAAAAAATATTTATGAAATAGAGAACCAGGACCACCGGAAACTGGTGTAGATATCCCACATTAACTGTGTTTGCTTGACATATCTGCTCT